CAAATAGAGCAGGTCTATACCGTACTCCTTATCAAATTATTTGGACCCAACAGTTCCCACATATGTTCAAAGCCACATGCGTGTCCTTGCTGACCAGCTGCTGAGGGTCTCTGGGTTTGTCTGTAAGCCCCCAGCCAGGTCAGGAGAAGGTTAAAGTTATTCTGAGCATGGCTGTCTGTCTCTGGGTAAAGTCTTCATGTTCTGTACATACAGGCTCATACTATAGAAGACAGTACAACAGCATTATACTCCTCCAGTGGTTAGCATGGTGATAGCATGGGTTCAGTCTATCTGTGTTGTATAACTAATAGCATATGCCAAATACATGTCCAAAGAAAGGCCTACCCACTGGCACATTGTCAAAGCCTCATGGAAGCCGTGGTTGTCGACTACTACTAAAATATTTGTTCTTTTATTATGTTATTGTTTATTATGACTGAATATTCACACAAAATAATTACAAAATATATTTATATATTTATTTCTTTGCATTTTTTAAAGCAGCCTTATTAATAACTTTGTGAGAGGTGTCACATCTGCTTTACAGGATAGGTTCCAGTACTGTAGTAGTAGTTTGACATTTTGGGAAATATTCTTATTCACTTTCTTAATGAGACTTAAAAGAGAAGATTCATGCCCCTCTTTACTGTTGATAATTAGTGAATTGAGGTAAATTTTTAATTAATGCTGCTTTAATGTCATGTATCATGAAACTGAGCAGCATGAAACATGAGGTTCCATAGTGTAGTGGTTCTAGAGACTATGCAGTAATCAAGGTGAAATGTTAACCCATTGTTAAGGTACTTTGGACAGTTTCGCTGTGGTGTAATGGCTGCACTGACCATGTCACTCTTCATTTTTGTCGCTGCAACCAGGAAGAAACGCATCATGCGCTGAATCACAGTGGTGCTCTGGATGAGAGAGGAGAGGAGGAGGAGGAGGAGGATAAAGAGGAGGAGGAAGACCTGGACAGGATGCATAGGAGTTACAGGAGAGCAGAGGGAGGGGGAAGACCAAGAGGTTCTTACAACCGTGCTAACAACGGAGAGCTAACTCAGAATGAAGTAGACCAGGTAAGACATAGTCAGTACTTGGTTTAATTGTGATGATAACATGCTACAGGGCGCCCGGTTAGCTCAGTGGGTAGAGCTGGCGATCGATGTACCGAGTCCTTGCTGCAACAGCCAAGGGTTCGAATCCAACCTGCGGCCCTTTGCTACGTGTCATCCCCTCTCTCTGTCCCCCTTTCCTGCCTGTCTCCAGCTGTCCTATCAAATAAAGGCATAAAAAGCCGAAAACAATATACTTAAAAAAAAAATAACATGCTACAGTATTGTATATTACAATATTGCAAAACTACTGGATGATTGCCATTAGGTTTGGTACAGTTTGTAATGAATATGGGCCATAGGTCTGCTCATGTGACCACAGCCTTGTAGCAGTTTAGTGAACTTTAAAACATCAAAATCCCACAAAGCATAATTTAAGAAACAGTTCGACATTTAGGGAAATGTGCAGGTGTGTAATATGTAAAAGGAGCTACCAGCCGGTATTTCCCAAAATGTTGAACTGTTCTTTCACGGGTAGTGCTGGGCAACTGTAGAAACATGGTGGTTAGACAATTAGTTGAAAGCAACACGTGGGTCATTCAACATGAATATCATCATCATGATATCATATCATGAATATTCCATTTCTGCCAATAAAGCCTCCTCAACATTACACACTGGACCTTTAAAAAATTCTGTATCAGTGACTACCAGCCTGACATATAAAACTGTGTATTAGACGAGGTGATCAGAGCGTCTGTCATGCTTGGAATAAGAGCCGCTGATGCTTCATCTTCAAATGCTGGAAAGCTGCCAGCTCAGCAGAATAGAAAAGCATTGTGGCACTTAAGCTGATTTCTAACCTGTAAAATACACTAGTGTGTGTGTGTGTGTGTGTGTGTGTGTGGAAAGTTAAAATAAAACTAAATGTGTAGACAATAAGCTTATTTCAGTTCACCTTCAGACACATTTTGTAGTAACAATCTAAAAATATAAAAAATGGGTTTGTGTATGTTGTGGTGCTGTCCCTTGTTTTTAGGGCAGAGAAGCCTGCCTTGTGAAAAAGAATTCTGCTACATTTTCACCTTTCCCACATAGCACTGCAGGTCAGAGGGGAGAAGTGTTTGATTTGTGACAGGATCAAGTGAAGATGGAAAGACTAGCCTGACATTAAACTGACATTGGAATTAAACTGCAATGGATAAGAGAGACAGAAAGAGGCACATAGGCCAACAGGTTAATTTTGACAAATGAAAACTGTGTTTATTCTTAGAAGTCTCACCCTCATGGTGCCACAAGAGGGACAGACTGAAACTGTTACTTGGTGAAGGGACATATCATAAAGCACTGATTCTCAATGACTGGAGCGTAGTGTGTGACAAGAATAGATCATCCATCCACGCCCTGTCTGTTGCTTATATCAATAATTAAAGCTATGAGTAAAGTGAGGCTATTAAAAAAACACACCAGTTGGTCAAAACTGGGATTAAGTCAAATGCAGACCACCTGCTTGTCTTCTTTTGTCTCTAAACCTCTCTCTCTGCCTTTCTCTTCCTCTGTCTCTATATTTTCAGACTTCTTTCTCCCTCCAGGAGTGTTTAAGGCTTTTGGAAGAAACCTTTCCCTTCACAGAAGAACAACAGGTATAGCCTCCTATTTTCTCTTCACTTCTTTTCAGTGCATTCTGTTGTGTTCTTCTTCTTGTCTCTTGCATAGCCAAACCTATCGCCATATTTCGTTTATTATTTCGTGCTGGAGAAATGTCTGACTGAACCCATAATCATTCTGGTATAGGGGTAAAAATGCTGGATTGTTTGTATTTTTTCCAGTCACAATCATGTTGTGCGGTGCTAACCCTAGGATGCAACAACAGTGCCCTTGCAAAATGGTGTCAGCAGATAGCGGAAGGGGTGGAGAATAATAGACTTCTTTACCTTGAACAGAACTCATTTTTCCTTCTTTCTTGGTCCTCAGTTACGTAATGTTGGCGGTAGAGGAGATCTGGAGTGTCAGTCCCCTGACAGGGACCCAATGATGCCCCCCATCATCCCCACCAGAAACCCATCCTTGGACCTGGAGCTTGAATGGCAGGACCTGTTGTCTATCATGGAGCCTGAGGTGACTGCGAGAATAAGATGAAATCATGAGACGAGTAAGCCAAGATACAATACATTGAAATACATTTTTCATCCCTTCTCTCCAGAACACAGAGGTTAACATGATGACTCCATTTGACCACACCCGGAATTCAAGAGCAACTGGGACCCTTCATGATGTGAGGTCTGAAGCTCTACAGCAAAACTGTAACAACCATGACAATGACGTAACAGAGGCTGATCAGGAGGTCCTTCTCATGGAGACTCCCCAGCAGCAAGGTAATTCAATTTAAAAGATGACATTTGTTGTTAGAATTCATGGACAGTATTCTTAAGCTTCAATAACTCCTGAGAAATTGAGCATGAAGATTAATTCTTGTCCTTGGATACAGCAGCTTGACAGTAAAAATCTCAACACAGGGCCCTTGTTTTCAAAGCTTTCAACGACATTTAGTGGCCTTTCAGTGGACTGAGTTGCTCATTTGCTATGGCGATGGTTTAGAAATTCCATAGGCCAACATGATCATGACAACTGAGCACCTCCATCTGCTGAGCAACCACACGATGTGGTTGAAAGCTTTGGAAAGAAGTAAGTTGGACCTTTTCTTGGGAATTTATCTTGAAAAGCTCCTCTTTTTCCAAAATCTTACCAAATGTTGTATATTCATGTGGGGGTGGCTGTGGCTCAGGTGGTAGAGAGGGCTGTACACTGATTGCAGAGTTGGTGGCTCGATCCCCACTTCCTCGTGTTTACATGTCAAAGTGTCCTTTGCCTAGACACTTTCCTGTTTGCTCCCCAGTCATTGGACCATAACAAGGAATGAATGATTGTAACAAAGAAGCTGTAGCATATCCCATAATTCTCAACATTTTGCAAAAATATCCACTCTTTCTTTCTAGGGTCGTTTGGGCCTCCAAGCCAGTCAGAGCCAGTCCTGTTTCCACTCACCCCCAGTGCAGATTTGGATGACCGCAGTTTAGCCTTTAACACAATGGACACTTCGACAAACTCTAATGTGTATTCCTGGCACAGTCCTCCAGATAACACAGATCTGCTTGCAGAAGATCCTTCAGAAGGCTTCCTGGGACTAAGTGCAGAAGATAACTCCAGTACCTTCAACATAAATCTGCTAACACAAGATCTTGTGGATACCGTGGAAAGCAGTCCATGTTCACAGTATGCTCCCTACCCTGAAAACCTTCCTACCTGGGATGTTAACTTTCATTCACGCAACATGACAGCTTCCAGTTTCACCCCATCTCCAGAGGGGAATGGTATGACCCAAGACCTTCTGACGTCTCCCTCCAATGTCTTTCTGAGTGACGAAGAGGATATTGAGAATGAAAACGGTCTCCCTAGCTCACTTAGTGACCTCTTAGAGGATGCTGCCATCTTAGATGAGTTTAGGTTGTTGGACCTAGCTCTGGAGGAAGGATTCACTCCTGAGATGGCAGCCAGGCTGGAAGAAGAGGGCTATCTTGGCCGTGGAATAGCCCAACAGGAAACTGGCAAAGATGATGACCACTTAGGCTCTAGCACGTCAGTCACTGAAGATCATGTTCAACCTAGAGGACATCAGCAAGGTAATTTAACAGGGAGGCAATATACCTTTTTATAGTGACTATTTTTGACATACTGTTCAACAATTTACCTTTCTTTTAAGAGAACACTAATACTAAATTTAAATATTACTACATAACTGTAGACCCTACCTTAACCTCTCCACGTTCCCTCCTTCTAGACGACGAGAATGAGGCAGACTCAGACTCTGGTCTTTCTCTGGACTTCAGCCACAGCCCTGCTTCTCCAAGTGCTTCTGAGGCCTCCTCTTATTCCTCTTCCTCATCCTCTTCATCTTGTGTGTCGGATGAGGGAAGTCCCTTCTCTGAAGACGAGGACAAAGATGCTGAGGATGGGTTAGTTGGTTTGGATATGGAATTGGAGGTGACCATAAAGCAGGAGGAGCTGGAAGAGGAGGAGATGGGTGCAGTAGGAGGAGTGTACCCTGAAGATGTTAAGAAACAATTCCCTCCCAACTATGGAGATGACAAGCTGTTTAATGGCTTCCCTTGGCTGGAGCATATCGGCCACGATCACACGTACAACCAACCCTGGTCATCTGCCTCCTCTCCATCCCTGGGCAAGATGTCTACCAAACACACCAAATCCTCCCTGCGACATGACAGTGCCAGGCCTTACCGCAGCTCCAGGCACATCTCTGAGACCAAAATGTGGAGCCGGGATGAACGGCGTGCACGGGCCTTGAAAGTCCCTTTCTCCAATGAGCTCATTGTTAATCTGCCAGTGGAGGAGTTTAATGACCTACTGGCCAATAGCCAACTCAATGAGGATCAGCTTACCCTCATCAGGGACATACGGCGCCGTGGTAAGAACAAGATAGCTGCCCAGAATTGCAGGCAGAGGAAAATGGATGTGCTGCTGGGACTGAAGGATGATGTGTCAGGTTTGAGGCGCTACCGCTCACGGCTGCTTCGAGAGAAACAGGAAGCCCTGAGGAATCTGCAGGAAATGAAGCGCCAACTTGGCATGTTGTACCAGGAAGTCTTTTCCACTCTCAGGGATGAGGAGGGGAGGCCACTGGATGCTATGGAGTACCTGCTTAATTTTGAGCCCAATGGTAGTGTCACAGTAGCTTCACGCCAACAAGGGGCAGCGATGCCACTAACAAAAACCAGCAAGAAACAGAGGGACAAGAAGAAGTGAGGAGGTGAACAAGCCGTTAGAGAATGTAGAGAGAGTAAAGAGATTCCTTAACAGGAATGTGATCAAAACCACAAAAAAGGCAGGAAATACGGATGCACTGGTGAATGAAGAATTCTTTATCTAGTGTCAATGGAAGGTGCTAAAAGGTACCATGAAATCCTCAAACACCCAAACAGATACCCTGAGAGGAAGTGATTTTCATGATGACGTTAATGTCGATTAAACCTTTACTCCGGGATGTGTTGTTCTCCATGCTTCAAACATTTTCTACAGTAAACAGATGGTAGGCCAGATGACATGGGAAATGCTAGTTCAGTCCCTAACCACAGTCCTGCTTTCTCTAGTATAAGCTTCCTCAGAGACTTGAAAACATGAGTTGAATAAGCCAACAGTGATAGCAGGCTGGATCCTGGCTGTCAGCTACTATAGCCAAACAACTGGGGACGCTACAATGACTGAGTCACCAAGAAAGGGTTGTTGGTACACAGGATGGGAAGTTGTGGTTATTCCCCTTGAGCTAGTAGAAGTGCAGAATCTCACTCAAATATGCTTTAGCAAGCTAAAGACTTGAGTTCATGGGGATCAAACCTGGGTATGTTCAGATCCCAGACGGTGCAGTAACCACAAGCCAACCCACTGCCAAACTGTACAACATTATTCAAAGACATTAGTTACCATCTCCAGCAAAACCCTTTCAAATTCTAACTATAGAGGGCATCTTGGAATAGCATACATAAGTTAAAACTGACTTCAAGTCAGTTTTCCTGTAAATTGACCATTGTTTTGAAGATTTCCACTTCTACCACATGAGGACTTAGATCATACACAAAAAGCTAAACTTTTTTTTGTCTATATAAGCTATATTAGAATGTGGCAACACTTTTTAGTAGGATATATTCATTGTTGCTTTCGGTCTCAGAGGATTTGTTAATAATAAGAACAAAAAGATCAAATAATACCAGCCTTATGCTTTAAGGTGGGGAGATGGTCTTTGAAAATAAGGTGAGATGATGTGGCATCATGCATTGTGTGTCCTTCCATGTCATTCAGTGGCAAACACAGAAAAGTAATGGAAATAGGAATATGAAGATTGGATGGATAGAGCACTTGGAACTTTCACACCTGGCCAGAAAAATGATATGTCAGATTGCAAGGGCCCTGTACCATTTTTTAAGGCTTTGAGATTCATGAATGGTGGAGTGACCAGACTGCAACAAACTGACAACAGTCTGTTAAAATATGACTGAGGAATGACTCCTTTTACCCATAAGTGGTGCCTGTATTGTTTTTTTTTTCTTGTAAACTAAAAGCATAACTGCAGTGGGTTTTACCTGTGCCTTTAACGTTTTTGTGTTCTTATGTATTTTTAACATTCATCTGTGAAGCTGTTGAAATCATATTGTCTATTTCACACAAGATAGTGGGAATCTTTGCTCCAAATGTAGCTACAAAAAGGGCAGTCCCAACCCTGACCTAAATTTAAAACAGGACTGGAATCTGTTGTCAGTCTTGACAGTTCTTTAATACAACTGAGTTTAGTTGTGAAGCTGTTAATGTTTTAAGATTGATTGCCATAATATATGTTAGGTGCCCAAAATGCTTATGAATGTACTGAAATTACAGTTTTGGCCTTTAAAGACAGGTAACTCTAGATTCCAACACTTCTCCAAACTCAAGGCTGATTTATGAATTGTTTCAAGTTAGCATGTCACCCTCTAGTGGTTGTACCCATAGCTGAGTAAGGCAGAACTCCAGAGATTCTGATGAAGACATTACTACAATGAATTAAACATGGCAGCAGTTTGACCTGTTGATACTAAGAATTTACAATCTGAACTAAATTTTGCATAATCTAGACTGTAGAAAGTATTATTATTGATAAAGCCATGTAACTAGTAGTATTGTTAGATTGTTTTTAGGCAAGAAATTATCAGTGTTTCACATGGTACCTCGTTGTAGAATCAAATTACTGTATGTGCATGTGTCCCTCTTAGATATCTGTATGGCAAAGAAACGCAGTGGAATGAAATGGTCTCTGCCAAAATCCCATCTTTCAAATTTATGTAGACCAATTCTGAGCTTCTTACAATGTAACACACTGCATGCTCATCATTACCACTAATGGAGCAAGATTTTAGTTGTTGTTAAGTGTTTACATTTTGTGACTGCCCAATGTGCTTGCTGGTATTCAAGGACTTGGGACCTTGTCTTCTGTAATATTAAAAATAAAAATAAATTGTATTTCTTTGGAGTCATGCAGTCCCTTCTCTGGTGTCTATACAGTAACAATAGCAGATAAAGGCTATCAGAGATAGCCATTGGTGTTTTAATTATGTATTAGCAGTCCTTTACAGTAAAAATGACGAGGTAAGCTGCATCCCAGTTTTGGTTGTGGTGCTTACTGGTACATACAAGCTAACACATAAACTGGCCCAATGACAATGGTAGAGGTCAGAGTGGGTTTTCTCAAGTGTGAATTACTACCTAGGGTGTAAAAAAAAAACTGTAAAAACACTTTAACAAGTGTTCTCTGGATCTTTGGGGTCCTGTGTAACCTCAGAGAACAAAATGCCCCTGTGCCATCACTCAGTTACCTGGAGGTCAGAGTACACAGGAAGTGTGTGGGATAGTTAGTTCCCAGCTCATGCCGTTATTGCATGTGAAATTTTACTGTTGAATCAAGACAAACAAAATGCACTTGATGAAAGAAAGGCAGAAAGGGAATTCTGGGACCAATTGACCAGAAGGCACCTTAGGGAAAAATACAGGCAAACTCAATTTGAGAGTATATGGCTTTAAAAAAAGATTACAAAGCAACAACCCACAAAGAGTTCTAGAAATAATGAAATTACAATGGAAATTACATTAGATACATTCTCATTGTCTTTTGTATTGTACAAATTGTGATTTAAGACAGTCAATGTTCCAGGAAATGGCTCAGTCAAACCATGAAGTAATCAATGGTACAGTTGAGCGGATATTAAATGGCTGTTCATTATTTGGCGTGTTTAAGTTTGCCAACTTTGCCTCAAAGTGCTGGAACCATAGGCAAGATAATTATTGTGTATTGTAAGCCCATTAGGGCTGGGCATAGTTATAGGACAATAATAAGAATGTAATTTATTCACGTAATAATGACAGGGTTTCTGCAGGATTCAACAGGGTAAATGTCAGTCTTTTTAAGACCTTCTTAAGACCATTATGAATGCAGTTTAAGACCTATTTCATTTCCATACTGGTAGGAAAAAAACAGTACAAAGGACATGAGGGAAAATCAGTATTGGCTCCATGAAAGTTTCATTTTGTAGTTGTTAGTGATCAATACAACTGTTTCCCAAAAACACATTTAAAGGGAGACTGAAAGATGAAACTTTATACAAGTAACTTTAACTTCATTGATCAAATTATTTTTTTAAGAAAAAAACTTATTTAAGATGTTTTTTAGGGCCTAACATTCAGATTAGTGGATTTTTTAAGACGTCCTGTTGTCTCAGGGACAATAAAAATGGCACATGGGACAAAAAAGTTCAGTGTATGGGACAATTATGGAATTATGGGACAGCAGAGAAATGTATCATTACAAATGAAATTATAAAGTTTATGTGAAATAGAATAGACATCATTTTAATTAAGTTTTCAAATTAAAAAAATGTGAGGTGGCACAACACAAGCTTTACACTGCATCTCTCTCTCTCTCTCACACAATCTTTCTCACTAGATATAGGTACTTTTTCAGATCCTCTTTAATTTAACTTTAATTCTACTAGCGGCAAATTTAGCGACTTATTCAGACCATGAGGAAAAAGAAGAGAAATATATTGCAATATATTATGTTGCCATAATTCCCATGCATGCTGCTCAGAGTAATCGCTGTCTATGGCTCTTCTACCAACAGCACGGGGGACTCTCCCTCTCCTCTTGTGCCGTGTGCAGTCAGCAGGTGTAGTGTGTGAAGTTCATTTGACCTCCTCTCTCTGGATTAGGGTGTTCCTATAGCTTATATGTCAATAGTTCAGTTCAGTTCAGTTCAGTTCGATTTTCTCCCTCCCTTCTTGATCAGTGAGTCCAGGAAGTTATGGAAGTTACTGAAACAAAGTTATTAAACTGCAATCATAATGTAGAATGAGAAAAACAGATCAATCTGTGACAATGGCTGCTAAGTCTGGGACAGTAGAAAGGAAAATTGTTGACAGTTGCTGGACACTGACAAAAATTCTTATTTTTTTTTTTCAAGCTCTGGTTTTACTGACAGCACAAAAAGGCTAACGTTTAGCCCTCAAACAGCTTCCCAAACACTCAGATACCTGAGGTAGTTATACATTTATTGATGTGGGCCATTAAAATGTAAAAGGACTAATAGAGACACAAAAGTACAAACAGTTACATAAACGAAAAACCTTTATTGTCCAAAACAGACAATTAAAAAGTAGATCAGCCATGACAGTGACATTGCAAGGGAAACCAATAAACATGCAACAGGACAACACAAGCTAATCCGCTAAATACAGATAAAGGTTTCAGAGACAAGATAGAAAAAGCTAACTAGCAGAACCAGGTGCGGCTAATTCAATCCCCTCCTGTCAATGGTGAGGTATAACAGAAGGCAGTCAGCGTGCAGCACATTTAACTCTGGTAACACTGATGTGCATGGTGAAGATATAAGAGCGCCCCAAAGGCCGGAAGTTCTACAAAGTAATTTCAGTAATTTTACTGAACAATACATTTGTGTGGAAACCGATCAGTAGAAAGGGTAGGCTTAGACCTAGCGTACAGATGCCGACATACAGTAGTAACAGCATTCGCACAGAAATTTTAGAGTCAGAAAGGTTTGACTTCAAATGCTACAAACTATTTACAGCTGAGCCAACTCACTTTGACCGCCCTGTAATTCAGCCTCTAAAGAAGACCGTGTTTCTTTCTGTTTATTCTTCTGGCCTTTTGATAGGAAGTACTTGGGCAGGAATTTTTATGTTTACATATCCTGTGGTTGCTTATTTAAAGAACGTGACTGTTTTTATGCTGCTTTGAGTTCGTGCATCTTCCACAACATGTCACTCACGGTAAGGGCTCATTCAAATGATCATTCTGTAAGAAAACATAAATATTTAAAAATAGCTGCTGTTTCAAGTGTTGTGACATGAGGCAGTACGAGGTGAAGCACAAAAACAATATCCACTGGACATGAATGGAGGTTCATTATAATAAGGAAAACACAATGGAATTTTCTCTTCAAGGTCAGTTCACTTATAATCTCCAGCAGCAAAAGGCGAGCCAAGGGTAAGATCAGAGAAGGGGATTTGAACTAGAGCTAACCCGGGTCTGCTAACAGAGGAAGCTACTACACTAGCTTTAATACAGTACACATAGAAATAAGCACAGCCGGGCAACATTCAACACATTAAACACAGGGAGACATCAGGCAGCAGTGAAAACACCAGAGAAAGACCTCTTGTATGCTAATCATATTGAATTCAAAAGTCCTTTGCCGTTTTATTTATGCAAATATCAAAACTTTATGAACAAAGGACGGTCTGCAAGCAAGAGGATCCCAGAAATACTTCTAATGTGCTGAATCATCATGTCTTGAGTGTTGCCCGGCCCGCACAAGCTAAAATAATACAATCTAGAAAAACACACATGTGGCTGAGTGTGTGTGAAGGTTAAAACAAGGGAGAGGAAATGATTTTAAACATATGTTTAATCACCTCCTCCATTAGGAATAAAACCCAGCTGAGGCTGTTATGGAGCATGTATCTACTGCTGAGTGAGCCGCAGTCTCATCAGGAAACCTTCACCTACCAGCCAAGGTGGCTCTCTCACCATCAGCCAAAGCAGCTTGTTGGCTGGTTTCGATCCAATGTGGCTGCCAGAGTAAATGAATGTACAAAGTACAGCCGACAATTCACTGACTGGCTGGTCAGTTCCCAAACTGATGGTCCACATGAATCACTTTGTGACTGTTAACTTCACACTGAGGGCAACGAGTTAGAGGGGGTGCCTTTATTTCCCATGGAAACATGTTTGATGATCATCAGTCAGAAAGGCTTGCTGCAGGTGTTACTCCAGTAGCAAATATACTCAAATTAGAAAAGCCTGTTGCAGCAGCTCAATATATTATGCATGCTTGTTTACCTACTCTTGCAATTAACCGTCAATAAGGATAATTAACAAGGAGCCTGGTTGATTTTATAAGACCCTGCATCAGAGTGTCAAACAGCTGAGCTCAGTGCCTAACACACCTTCAACCTACGTTTGGCTCAAGTAAAAACCTGCAGTTTCTCAGCTGAGAACCCTGTTCATTCTAATTGTATGTGTTTCAGTCTGAATGATCATCACTTGGTTCAACACTTTGCCCCACTAATTTACAGGCTGGAGGGTAGGGGTGTCAGAAATCTCAATATTTTGTTCTGTGATATTGTATTGATTCTCAAATCGAGTGTTATAAACGTAAACCTCTCAGTTTGATGTTGGATATTACAGAGATTGGGATAAATACAAATTCTGCTGGAATAAAAAAAAAAAAAAGTTTAGATTTTATGTATATGGTGATTTGTTCTTTACACTGACAGTCTTCCTAAAATTACATAAAAAAACTTTTTATACTTACAGTATCGCAATATATTGAGTAGTAACCCCTGTATTGTACCCACCAGATTCTAGCCAATACACAGCCCTATTAAAGGGCACATCAGCATCCTCAGGCAGAATTCTTGGACTGCCACTCCTGACGCTGAGTCTCAACTAGTACAACACCAACTGCTATGACAATCATGTAACTCTTCATCTAAAGTTATCCAGTGTGCCCGTCACTCTAGCAGTGTGGAAATGTACAACCTGCCAGATGTTTTTGCCACCGTGTGTACACTCCAGCCACTTTGGCAGGTAACCAACCAGCCTCTCGTCCAGCATAAAGTAACTCCACAAAATTGGCACGAAAGGTTTGAATCAAAGCAGCCTCATCTGCCAGTGAATGAACTCAAATCAGTAAACTTAAACATGGTTCACTACTTCTGTAAGTTGTCATTTGTCTTCTAGCCTTGCTTGAAGGTGATTCATGGGATTCATACTAAACAAATAAGTTCAGTAGGAATGGCCAAGTCAAGCAGCGAAAACAGCTGGTGAATTGAGTACTTTTGTAATTGATGGTTTAAAAATAAATAACTCAAAACACATTAGGAGAGTGCTATGCCCTTATATATATATCTTAATACTTAGAAAGCATATGATTGAGTAACATGAAATAAGGCAGATGGACATTTTACATTGAAAGCAAAACTACAGGTTTACCTGTGGACCTCCACAAAATGAGCACACAAACATTAACTGACGGTTTGATAAAATACAGACGAGTTCCTTAGTTTTCATTAAAAACTGAAACAGAAAGCAAAGTAGCTTTGGGAAAAAGCATAATCCGTTGCTGGAATGACTTTTTAAAAAACTGTTTCAGCAGACAACTGCAGGACACTCAAGTGCTGGCTGGTTGGCTGCCACATTGGCTGGTAGGACATGTAAAGCCAAGGCAACGACTGGTGGTCTTCTCACGTAGAATGTCGGAGTGTAACGATACATGCATCCCGTACCGTTTGGCGCAGGATGTTCATTTCGGTATGGGAGTGCCTCGGTTCAGTACACCCGTGACCTAAACGATTACTGTCAAAACAGCCTATTTATGTTGCCTACTCGCACTCGTGGAACAGAAGTTCTAGAGCCCGAGTTTTACCTGGAAAGTTTTGGCAGTGCACCAGTTGTCCACCAGCTGTAGCATGCTAGTCTGCTTACCTGGGTAGTTTAAGCTAAACAGGCAGCGATTAGCGGCAAACTGTATGCAGACGATGTTCAACTGATGTTGGATTCATCTGTGGAAACACTTTAAAACGTGTCGTTTACGACCGCCCCCCCCACCATCAAACGTGGCGATATGCAGAACGAGACATGAAAACAGACCGGCAGCCTTTCACCGCAGATACAGGCCGTGCCAAAGTAACAACTATAACTACTATGTGTTTATTAATGTGGATATGCAACCATACTTGGATGGAAAATACAGGATTTAAGCATATGGTGCTTGAGCCCAGCTACACTGTGCCTTCACATGTGAATTTTAATCAGTCTCTTGTGCTGCTCTGTAAGCTGTTCAACAATGATCAACAGGTCAGAGTCTAATGATGGAGCATTACTGACATTTGTGTTATTTTTTTCTTATTGACAATATGCCAGTATTTGAGTGCAGTTACTGTTACAGTAAGAATTGAACAGAACTAATGAGCTACTGTTATCATTTTTCACAATAAATAACAAAAATGTTTTCCCTGCTCTACTGAAAACCGAGGTACATACCGAACTGTGAATGTCATGTAACGTTACACCCCTAGTAGACTGCAACTGCTCTTTGTCAATCTGCCCACGTCAGAGTGAAATGTACAGTCGTCATTTGGCATTTGAAGTTTCAACTGAGAACAGCGTTACATACAGCAATAATGAGAACTCAGAGAGTGGCACAGATACTGAGAGAGACGAATGTTTTCTGTCCATTCTTTCACTCCTCCATAATACCTCTCCTCAATTCATTCCGTTCCAAAAGAAGTTCCCCCCAATGTATCCTGACAAAGCAAGAAGAAAAGTTTGTGCTCTCTTAGCCACCACAATTCATCGGGCGCTTTCACCATCTTTTCAACCGAAATGTTTTTTTGTTTTTTTTAAAACAGGACTTATAAACCGGTGATTGGGAGGAGAGACAAACTTGCCAGCCACAATCAAACATTCAGCTTGCTTCTCACATGAATGCACATGTTTAAGAGATAAGCTTGACAGCTTGCGGTGTATTCCTGTATTTCCAACACCAGGCACCTGTCACCAAATGTAGGAGACAAATTCTTTTATGGTCATTTCACTGTATTCAGTTCAATATTGGGCTTGTGACGCCAACGAGGAATACTAGCAGAACAAAGGCACCAATTCCCATCAAGTGACATGTTCTTGGTGAGGGAAAAACGTAAAGTAAGAGAGACTAAGTGTTAACATACCTCTTTAAAAAAAAAAAAAAAAGAATAAAAAAAAGAATACATTTTCAGTCAAGATACAGGTGGGAGTATCTTTTGAGGAAAGGACACCAGTCTCCTTTCAGGGCAGGAAAACAACCTTCTTCTGTCCTCTGTCAGCTACATTGGCAGTTCAATCCTAATGATCTGGGATTTTCTCCACTTTTCTCCACTGCCAAAGTGGCTGCTAGAATCAATTACCTGGACAACAGTTCACCAGCACATAGTTGATTTCCCGCCCTGCACTTCCGCACTTCCTTTCTTTTCCTCTTTGCACCTCCACCTCCACTCATCTAGTCTTTTTTCTCTTCCTCTTTCTTCTCCTCCTCCTCTGTGGGGTAAGAGTGCCAGGTGAGACGCTCCTCGTAGAAAGAGATGACCACCTGGGGACATTTGACGTTGGCTTCCTTGGCTGGGACGAGGTCTGCCTCGTCTGAGTTCTTCCTGTTCATTTAATTCAAGAGAAAAAGTAGAAAGAAATATAGCAGAGACAGACAGGTGAAAGAAGGCAGAGAGAGGGGAAAAGGAAAAGGAGAACACAAGAGGGAGAGCGAAATAGAGAGAAGTGTGTGAGACAATGGGGGCTTCATTTATTTCCTCCTACAAAACAGTTTTAGCTAAGTCAATAACAAGGATAACAAGTTGCTCTCTGACAACCTGCAACTTGACGATGCAACTGACCTCCGCCTTTACAGTAGTGGCCTTTACAGTCTCCGCTGATTGTAGCACAGACTAAGGAGAAGCTTGCTGCTCCACAACAGCTCAATCAGCAACACAACTAGATACCCGTATTAAAGTGGCTTTGTGGTTTAGTTACTCTAACTATGACCTCAGTAGTTAACGTATCATTGAATTTACACATTTACTCGTGAAGAAAACAAAAGTCAGGTGCTGGTGGGTTGCAGGACCATGTAGTTAAAAATAAGAATTAACCACCGTACACTGAAATGACTTTACTGACTTTATTATTTTGCCTGAAGGTTCCTCAGTTTTGTTCAGCAAAACAAAAGAAAGTCTTTTTTTGTTCCAACACTGGCCTGGCATGGACATTGTGGTTCACATAACTCTACTGTGACACTGGAAAAAGTATGATTGCAGCACTGATGGACTTACGGTACATCAGCCATCAGAGTTATTAATAGAATTAGAAGTGCTTTCTGTGATTCCACACTGAACCCTATTGTAAGGCCCAAATGGGCTCTGAGCAGGAGATCTTCACCGATCTTCTTATTTCCTTCAACCAGGGTACAAATTATATTCCATGTTGTATTGTCTGTTCAATCAACTGTTGAATCCTCTGAAAGGAAGACTTATTCTACCTCAAAGCCATCTCATTGGACGTTTACAAAGACAGTGAAGAAGACCCACCACTTCATGAGGAACATCAGCTCTCCACTGGAGTCTGTCGCTCCAATAATCCTCTCCGGCTGCAGACCTCTACCAAAACCTCTTGCCTTCTCGCCCTGCAGACAGAGCAAGAGAACATTGACCAAAGAAGAGAAAATAGACAGGTGCGAGATAATGCTGTACTGAACTTTAAAACACCTGTATGTAGACATATCTGCTTAGTTAAAAAAAAACTGTCAATTCTTTTGTGGTCTGGATGACTGCTGGGATTCTTTAGCCTAAAGCAGTCCCTCTCCTTTGCTCACCTCTTCCTTCTTCCTCTTGCTCCCTCGATCCTCTGAGTCTCCCGAGGCCTCACTGGTGACTTTCCTCTTGCCCTCCTTCTTTTTCTCCTCCTTCTCTTTGTGTTTCTGCATGTACTCGGCGATAAGGTCTGGACAGTCCAGGTTCTCTTCCGGCTCCCATGTGTTATCTTCACTGGAAAGGTGGGTGCAGACAGAACACAGTGTAGTATTTCTTTTTTTTTGTAGGGCTGTAGATCAATGGCAAAATTCTGAACTTTCAATATTGAGAGCAAACTTCAGTGCTGATTCTTTATGCTGCACATGCCTTTTTCAAACTAAAAACTCTGTAAACACTAAAAAGAATCCCCAAATTAAGAAGAAAAACATTTGCCTTTCGGCAAAGAACACCAAGCATTATCTCAGTGAACGGAGTTATACTCACTCTGAGAAACCCTTCCATTTCAGCAGAAACTCCACTTTTCCCTTAACCACTCTGCGGTCCAAAACCTTCTCCACAACATACTCCTCCTCTTCCTCCTCCTCTGCCGCTGCCGGTGGTGGTGGTGCGGCTGTGGTGGCGGCGGCGGCTGTGACGGCTGCTGCTGCTGCTGCTGCTTCTGGTGCTGGTGATTCTGCAGGTGCTGCAGGCTGCTCCTCCTCTTCAGCCTTCTTGCCCTTCTTTCCTGCTACGGTCGCCAGCTTGACGTCTGCTGAGGGCACTTCTAGTGGACCCAAGAGGAAATATGCAGAAACAATGATAAAAGAATTCAAATAAGTAATAGATCGATAGGTAAATTATTCTATACCACATTTTAATAGTTATTTTTGAATGGAGGAAATACAAGGGCTGATTAGTATCTCCTGCAATAAAACTGAACTGAAAATGTTCAAAAGCCATGAACGACTGACCTGAGCAGCAGCTAGCAATTCTGGAGCTACAAGATACAGCAACATGCAGCGGTCTTCGATTAAACTAGTCATACAACGATCAGCCATAACACTGGTTATGTGGTTATCATGGCAGCTGTCAGTGGGTGGGAGATATTATCCAGTGAGGACGGCAGGCTTCAGCACAGAGTCGGTGGCCTGCCGTGAGTCAATGAGTAAAGCAACTGACTGAATTTCATAATGAAACTGTATGTGGGTCAGCCACATCGGATCAGGGGCGGCTGTGGCTCAGAGGCAGAGCAGGTCGTCCCCCAATCGGAGGTTCGTTGGTCTGATCACCGGGTGGTGTCACATGCCAAAGTATCCTTGAACAAGATACTGAACCGCGAAGTGCATCGGTGTGTGAATGTGTATGAATGAGTTAGTTTCTGATCGATGGGCTTTACCATCATGTGTGTGTAGTGTAAAAGCGCTTTGNNACAGGTCCATTTACCATCCATTAGCTAATTAGGTAATAATTGTCTCATAATTATAATATAATCATAACTCCAAAATGCAAAACGTCACTGTCGTCACATTATGATCTGAGAAACTTGCACACTCCCTGTCCAATCCAGATCAAAAGCCAGGGGGAAACCATGTTAGGCCCAGCAGGAGAGAAAAGCAGCTGAAACCTGAGTATGCCGGGAAAGAAAGGAGGAGGGGTCACCAGATAAAGAGCTGCACCGTTCAAAGGACTGGCTCTGTGCAACCACCGTGAGAGGTTTAAACTATTGCATCTGGAGTGGGTCTGCTGAGCGTTACAATCCAGCCACCATTTTGGCAGGTAACCTAACTAAGAGCTTAAGTCCTGACATCATGGCCAGGCTAGCTTCCGCTAGCAACCACTACAGCAACGTTTGGGAATTAACAATCAGATTGTACTGACAGAATAAAATTAAAGCTCCCATAAAAAACTAACCCCAAAAAAATGCTTCAGTACTTCTATCATCCTGAGTTAGTTCCAGCCATATAACACTCATGCAGCACAACTTTCACCTCTCAGAATGCTGGCTTTACACAGTGTTGCTGTCTCTGTGTTTACAGACTAAAACATCTTCAAACTCCAGACTGTTCACTCAGCCACAGACTGTTGTCACACTGCAGCATGTTCACGTCTGTGAGGAAGAGGAGAGTTCATTTGGAGGTAACTTAACTTTATGCTCTGTCTTTTGACAGTTAAAACCTGAAGGAATGTCTGTTTTTCACCCTGAACAATGATCATAATAATCTCTTGTGTTATTGTGCCAATGTAAGTGGTCGATATTGAATCAGATTGGTCACAACTATAGCTACAGCTCTGCTGTCTCAAAACCTGTGCAGCATTCAGCCCCCCCCGCTGTTATGGGTTCCTACATTACAATGAACATGCTCGTTGTAGTTTGACTCAACGCCATACACTGTCTTGCTGTTCCAAGCACTCAATAGAGCACCGAACACTGAAAATAGTCCCCAACAAATGCACTATTTACTCCACACATCTGTAATGTCTTATCACTAGGGCCCCTTCTAAGGCCCCTTCCTCTCATATGGGATATTATGGGGAGATGGTTCTACACTCTGTGTATATGGCTGACTTTAGGGGATTGGGGCATGTTTTAGCAGCTTAGTAGCTATATACCCCCCCGTTATAACAGCCTTTTTACAACTTAAATTCAAATTCAAATTGACTTAAGAGATGTATCGCCCCGCTCTAGTTAATGGGCTAAACCCTACACAACCCTTGTTATGGTCTTTATTCACATGACAAGTGTGCATTTGCATTATGCAAATATCACTGTCAAAGTAGGAAAAAAGAAATCCTAGCATACTTAAAAGTCAACATGAAATATTTTTAACTCCATCTCTTGTAGACTTGACAAAATGTAATGCTGGCTTACTTTTGCTAAATGTGTTCATATTCCAATAACATGTTAAACATGATAGCAGACTAAGCATTTCATTTCCCATGTCACTGGAACTCCAGCTCCTGGCTCACTTGCAAACACCTTAATTAAACATTATATTAATCTGTGTGCACATGAATCAGGCGACTGTTTACTACAACTACTACTGAAGTGCTACACGGTAACGATTCCCATAGCAGGACACTGTGGCTGCCACACGTGTGGAGCTAACAACCTTTGAATATGCATATTGAGTCAAACATTGCTTTCATCACTGAACTGACAGACACATTGTGGAACTGCAACAAGTATAAGAGTATCTGAAACTCAATTCTGGCGGCTAGCAGGACCTCGGCTGATGTGTCTCGTTTCATTATCTGATATTTGGCGGTTTGGCAGCGAGGAAGAAAAAACGCCCTCCTCCATGCCTCCCGAGTAACCGCAGAAACAAAGCTGTGCTGCCCCACTGTTTCATGAAAAGCGCCGGAGCCAGTGTGCTGCACACGGTGTCTACATCATGCCTGCACCCGCTGCACCAGTAGTCAACGAATGCCAGAATAAGTCCATTTCATTTGACCTCATTTGGCCACAGTGTGTTGCAATTCCCCGATCCTGAGCAATGAGAGGAGCCAGGCGGCCCACCCCCTACAACCAGAGGGCAACATGGCTGGTGTTTTCCCTCAACAGCTAGCTAACATGAGCCTTACCTTTACAGAGAAAGCTTCGGAGCGCTTTTATGGGCTTATGGCAGGCCCGAGTGAGAACACTGTGATTTGGCCGTCCGTTGTAGACGAGTAACTAACCGAAGACCCGCCACTGGTGACACTAAACTACCCTGCTTTGGCTCGACTTTACCTCAATGGGCTTTGCTGCTGAATAACACAATAGCCTCCGCGTCGCTAAACAACGTCGATCCAGTTCTGCCCGCCAACAGCCCACAGCGGACGTTACGTCAGTGGATAGGCAAGGCATTGTGGGAGGTGAAGTCTTTGCCTTTGCCAACAGCAAATATACTGTAGTGCTCTACAGTGAATGACATTTTGATTTACTGTTTAACACCAAAACAACTGGAAAATAAATAGACCTGAGCACAAGCATTTCCCCTAGCCTACTATAAAGGTGCAGTGTGTAGGATTTAGTGACATCTAGCAGCGTAGTGGCAGATTGCAACTCGCTCGAGTCACCCTTCCCTTCAAAGCGAGGAGAAACTACACTGGCTGCAAAACATACAAAAAATGTGAACGCCCCTATCAAGAGCAAGTAATTGGTTTGTCCTCTCTGGGCTACTGTATAAACATTGCGGTTCAACATGGCGGACTCCACTGAAGGCGACCCGCAGCGTCTGCAGAAACTGCTCATTCTAAAGTAACAGAAAGCATAGCAATTTCTGTATTCAGGTGATTATACGTTAATGAAAACATAGTTATGAATATTATATTCCATGTCTGCGAAATAGATCCTCCTAAATGTTACACACTGGACCTTTAAGACTGTGAAAGACAATGTAGATGTTAGAGATGAGCGAGGACACCATTATCATTCTATTTAGCACTGCTACTGGATGCTTCCCCTCAGCTTAGAATTCAACAGACTCATCCAATATGAACATGTGAATATCAACATACAAGATTGTTAGATTGTTTTGTCATGCTTTTTTTTACTTACAAAAAACTATTTCCTGTTCTTAAAATGACACACTCAGTAATGGGGCAAAAGTATAAATCCATAGTTTGGCTAATTACATGAGTTTAAGTTCTAAAATTGGCCATAAACAATGTTTGGCTTTTTAAGAACTAAGAATTGTTCCTTTATTATTCAATCAAATAGAATAGATTTGAAACCAAAAAAGAGATTTGAGAGCAAAAAAGAGTAAGTGGCAATCAAAAAAAAATTTTTTGAGAGAGATTGAAAACAGAACAGGTTGCAAATTGAAAAAAAATTATGAGAAGAACATTTTCTTCCAACTTCAATAAAACTAATGTTTGTAGTAAAAACATACGACATATTTGAATTATAAACCAGTCTCTTGCTTGCGAGTTGTCTAAAAGTTTGTTTGCAATCAGTCCTTCTCTGCTTGCAAAGTTCCTAAAATTTTTGCTTTGCGAAAGATTCAACCTGCATTGATGGGCCGGGGCCCTAACGCTGGTGGATGAGAGAAAGAGTTTTCTTATTGGTTGGTTTGACCTGGCTACGCTTCGCATTACACCCACTTCTCCCTTCCTGCTGGTGCCTTGCTTGGGAGGTAAGATGTTGCTCTTGAAACGTGTTCCCAATAGTAATGATTGCGGCTTTATAATCGTTGGCGTACCAGCCTGCCGTACCATTCACAACAACAAACAAGCAACACACAAGTAAATGAATTATATGCCTGCTGCTGCAAGCAACACTGATTAAGCAGCAACATGGTTGTCTTCTGCTAGTCACGGCCTGAGCAAGTAGCCTAATGAGTGAGTGAATTACAGGGAGGCCCGTATACAACGTAGGCTGGTGTTTTAAACATTTAGTGTGCATGGTAACTCACGGTGCAAAACGTCCCGGTTCCTAACACAACAGTACTAACGTGGATTACTAAAC